ATAATCGGAGCGAATTCTTGTTGAGAGCATTCTGAGAAATGTTTGTTAAATCAAAGCTATCCATAGAAGGTGATAAAGTGGAATATTTGTTATATATCAATTCTTGTTTCTAGACTGACCATTCCCACTACACAAGAAATTCCAATTGCCAATGTAACTGATGCTAATTTTTGCATAGAATAAATACCTGTAAAAGAGGAGCATGCGGGATGTAAGTCAAAGATTAAGGGCTGAGTGTCTCAATGACCATGATTCTTATTTACTTCAACCAGCAATCTTACATACACATTTGTTTGACTGAAGTTTGTGGGTAGCTTCACTGAAAATCATCACGAGACAACACTCGCCCATTAGGGTAAACCTAGTGGTTCAACTGGTTGTTGCATATGCAAAATGCAACCGGATGACCTATGAAAAAGGCATTAGAAATAGATTTACATTCCATTGTTATTGTATTACTAGAGACTAGCAATATTTAGGTAGGCGGTGTGATTAGTGCTTAAAATTAGCATTTTACTACGCCTTTTTGGTAGTAATTGTAATTTGATGGAGTTTAAGTAATGACATTTCAGGTCCTAAAGTGAACAAAGGCTCAAGAACAACAAATATCACACTTGAGTGTAACACCAGTGCATTAGGGAACAAAATTGGAGAATGTAGAAACAAAGCAACCACATTCGAACACCAACTCACGTTTAAACGTCCACTTGAACTCTGAGAAGACCAGATTGTTGAGACGTGGTGTGTTGCAATCAAGAAGGAAGAACCTAAAAGTACTTGAGCACCATGTTTGAATGCCAACTCAAGTTCGAACGTCCACTTGATTTGATTGAAGAGCAGAGTAATGCGTGCAAAGAGCCAAGATGTACATGGAGTGTTGAAATGGAGTTCCATAGAGGACCACAGACCACTTGAGTGATATGGTCAAACCCCATCTGGCGTTCGAACGCCCCTAAAGCAAAGACAGAAGTCACGTTCGATCGTCAGACAACGTTCAAACGTCCATAAAGCTAAAACAGAAACAACATTCGAACGTCAACTCACGTTTGAACGGCCTCCATGGACTACCTACAGAGTAGTTGATTTTCACTTAGACTTAGGCGACATACATTATTCATTCATTCTCTCTTATCTTCCCCCCTCCCCTTTCTTGCCTATAAATACTCCCATTAGGGGAGCTTGACGTGTGTGCAATTTTTTTTCTCTTGTAAAGTAGAGCTTTTTGTAGATAGTTTTTGATGGAGGTTTAGACTCCCACTCATGCAGTTAATCTTAGATGTATTGTATGTTATATTTACTTGTATCAACAAAGTTAGTTCATCTCTTGGTTGAGGAAGCAACCTCAATCTTTTGGTTGAGGAAGCAACTCTCCACTTGTTGGTTGAGGAAGCAACCCTCCATTTATTGGTTGAAGAAGCTACCTTCCAAAAGTGACTAGCTTTCTTCTACTTTCATTGTTTATGTCTTTCACTTTCAATCCTTGATTTTGATTGAAAGAAGCCTACTTCTCACCATATTCAAAATCATCATCTGGGTAATACTTGGATCATTGTGCTCATTGGTGAAAATTCTATGATTTCTTTCTCCCCAAATAATATAAATAGTGAAAGCAAGGCATAATTTCCTAATGGAATTCTGAAGATGTTTGCCTTTCCATTGGGTGGACATAGCCTCAATGAGACTTTGCCAAGAAGAAGATTGCCATGGCCAATCACACTTACTGATGACATTCCTCCAAAATATTTCTGAGTATGAGCATTCAAAAAACAGATGGAGGTGGGATTCTTGATCAGCTCTATAAAGTACACAAGTAGTTCCAATGTTGGGTGAGAAACTATGGATTCTGTTCTTTGTGGCCAGTCTACACCTTATAGCAAGCCAAAGGATAAAACTGGCTCAAGGAATGCAAAGATTGAACCAAAGGAGATGGTACCACAACACCTCTGGTTTCTTGCTCCTAATTTGATTCCAAGCTGAAGAGGTAGAAAACTTGCCATTGACCTGGGGAAGCCATTTGATCTCATCCTTTTTCTCAATTGTAGGAGAGTAATTGGGCATAGAAGATATGATCTCATCAATAATTCTGGAGTTTCTAGGATTTGTTGAAGGCCACCTCCATTGGTTTCCTTGGATAATGGAAGCAACTTTAGCATTCTTAGTGATCCCAGAATCATAAATAACTCTAGGACCCCATTTAAGAAGGAGAGGACTGTTAGCATGCCAAAAATCATGCTAGAGAGATGTATTCCTACCATTGCCAATAAAATAATGAAGGAAAGGTCTTGCTAATTCCCTAACTTGCAGCAACTTCCTCCAGTTCCATGAACAGATTTTTGGAGTTTTGACTTCCCAAATGCTCTTACCTCTAAGATGATGCTCCTTGATCCAGCTGGTCCAAGTGTTGTTCTCATCAGAAATTAAGTGCCAGAGGTGCTTGAGCATAAGAGCTTTGTTCCAAGCCCTTAAATCATTCAATCCTAAGCCCCCTTCCTTTATGGGTACACAAACCTCACTCCAAGCAACCTTGGCCCCCTTTGTTTTCATTTCAGTACCAGACTATAAAAATGATCTTAGTTTCTTATCAATAGCATGTAGAATCTTCTTAGGAAGCATAAGATGACTAGCCCAATAAACTTGAATGCTACATAACACAGATTTAATGAGATGGAGTCTCCCAGCATAAGACAGAGCTCTATTAACCCAGGAGTTTATCCTTGAGTCCACTTTTTCAAATAATAAAGAGCAGTCTTGCAACTTGAGCTTAGTGGTGATAATAGGGATCCCAAGATATTTCATAGGCAGACAACCAATAGAAAAACCGAAACACTCAACTATCAACTATTGTTGCTCATCTTGAACACCTGAAATGAAGATGTGGCTCTTGGAAGGATTAGCCTTTAAGCCAAATAACATTTGGAATTTATTCAAAGCCCGTCTAAGAACTTCAACAGATTTAGGGTCCCCATGACATAACATGATTAAATCATCTGCAAAGCAAAGATGGGAGATCTTTTCTCTTCTGCATCTCCAATGATATTTAAACTGAGGCTCATCATGAATGCCTTGCTCAAGAATTCTTGACAGCACATCCATCACAATGACAAATAAATAAGGAGACATTGGGTCACCTTGTCGAAGACCTCTTCCACTTGGGAAGTACCCTGCCAATTCACCATTAACATTGATAGAAAACTTGGGAGTAGTAATGCATTCACTAATCCATTTGACCACGACTCTGGGGAGATTAAGAGAATCAAGCACATCGAACAAGAAATCCCAGTCAACCATGTCAAAAGCTTTCATTAAATCAACCTTGATAGCATACTTGGAGGGCCCATCATTCTTATGATAGTTCCTTAGCAATTTCTGGGCCAGAAGAATATTGTCCCCTATTATCCTTCCCTTTATAAAGGCAGTTTGAGCTGGGTTGATCACATGGGGAAGCAGAATTTTTAGCCTATTTGCTATGATTTTGGAGATTACCTTATAGAGGGTATTTCAACATGAGATAGGCCTAAAATTAGACATGCTTGTGGGATTGGGGACTTTAGGAACAAGATCAATAATAGTAGTATTCAATTCCTTGAGAAGCTGACTAGTGGTAAAGAATTCTTTAACTGCAGCAACAATATCTTCACCAATGATAGACCATGCCTTTTAGAAGAAAAACCCATTGAAACCATCAGGACCTGGAGCTTTATTGGGATTGAGAGAGAAACACACTACTTTAATTTCATCCCCAGTAACCTCATTGCTAAGAATCTGAGATTGCTCCCTTGTAATGGTGATTTGCAAACTGTTCCATATAGCAGAAGTTCTATAAGGCTCCTGAGACCTTCTCCTACCCATCAAGTTTTGGAAAAAATTCATAGTCTCATCTTTAATTTCCCCATCACCTTTAGCAATAGACCCATCCTGTCTTTGTAAAGTGATAATCTTGAAATTTTTCTTTCTACTCGAGATGGATTTGAAAAAGAAGGATGAGTTTTTGTCACCTTTAGCAATAGACCCATCCTGTCTTTGATTTCTTTTCTCATTTTAACCACAATGGGACTGTGATCAGAAATACTAGAAGGGAGAAACTCAGTTGCTGCCATTGGGAATTTTAGAATCCAAGCTTCATTGACCATAGTTCTATCCAGTTTCCTAACAATACAGTCTGGACCTCTATTATTACACCAAGTAAATTGAACTCCAAAGTATCTAAGGTCAATGATCTCAGCTGCATGAATGACATCTTCAAATTCATCCATGGCCAAGGTCCTTCTAGTTGAGCCACCAAGAATTTCTTCAACTGATCTAACCACATTAAAGTCACCAAGGATTATCCAGGGAACATTAACTATAGTCCTCGATACATCTTCCATGACCCTCCAAAGTCTTCTCCTCTCAATATCATCATTAGAAGCATAAACAATAGAAAGTGTAAATGAAGTCATACTTGCATGATGAGTGACCTTGCAATGAATAGCTTGATCCATTTTAGCAAATTTCTGAACACTGATGCTTTGAAGATTTCACCCAATCCACACCCTACCCAAAGTGTGATTGTTGTAATTATCACACCAGCTCCACTCTCTGATAATGTTTCTCCTGGCAACTTCCTTAATAACAGCCTTTACTTTGGTTTCAACTATACCAACCAAATCAAGCGGCTGTTCAAAAATCATTTTCCTAATCTCCATTTGTTTAGGGGTGGAGTTAAGACCCCTAATATTCCAGCAAGATAGATTGATCATTTGGGTTTGGACAAATCTGACCCTAGGCTTTAGGAACCCCAACTTTCCCTAGGTTAGGAGATTTTTGCTTTTTTTTTTTTTCTTTCTTGTTGTTCCAATTGGAATTCCATCAATGTTCTTCACTTTGCTACTAAGGAGGCTTTTCATCAGGGAAGCTGATTTCTCCATGTCGTTCTCTTGAATCCCAGAAAGATCAACCATAAGGCTAGCAAATTTATTACAAGTCTCAATGTTAATAGGAGCCTTAGGAAATGGGGAAGACTAGATTACCACATTCCCTGTAGGAAGAATCTCCCCTTGAATTTGTTGAGATAACTCAGGTAGAGTAAGATGGGGTTCATTTGAACTTGTACTGCAATAGTTAAGAGTCTCTTGATTCTGCAATTGATTTTGTACTTCTATACCTAAATCAATAACCATTCCTTTGCCCTTTTCTAAGGGTGTTTTCTGTTTCCATTCTTTTTTAGCTGTACCCATAGGACAATTAGAGTTACTATGTCCAAACACCTTGCAAACTATGCATATCCTAGGTTTCCACTGATATTCGACAGCAATTTCAATGACCTCTTCATTCTCATTATCATCAATGCCCTTCATTCTAAGGTCAAATGATTCAATGGCCACCTTGTCTGCTTGCAGTTCAACACATAATCTGGCAAATGTGATCCTCTGCTTAGATTCAGTGAGGGAATCAACATATAGGGGCTTCCCAACTGCAATAGCAATGTGACTTAATCCTTCTTCATTCCAGTATTCCAGTGGAATATTGTAGAACTCGATCCACACTAAAATCTTGGAGTGTGAGTCCTTGGCAAGCCGAAGCTTGGGGTGCCATTTTTTGAGCAAAATTGGTTTCCCAAAAAACATCCATGGACCCTCTTCAAGCACCTTGGAGTAGCTGTTTCATCATTGAATTTGAAAAAGAAGAACCTAGTGTCATTGGCCAAGACTTCAATGAGTCCTAGTCTATTCCATAACCTAAAGGCAATCTGTTTGACCACCAAAAATGGCAATTTTCTATCAATAACATACCCCCACAAAGCATGTTTCCCACTCCTTGCAGCCTTTTGCAACTATATCCCTAGGGGGAGAAACCACAATCCATTGAGCATCCCTAATGGGTTCAACAAATTTGAGAGACATGGCTTTATGATTAGCTGAACCATGAATATTTGAGTCTAGACCCACTCCATTCTTGACAACCTGGCTCCAGGAGGTAGTTTGTTTCAATCTATCATCACTTCGGGGTTGTTCTTCTAGTGGTACATTTTGGGTGGTGACTAAAGAACCTTGCATCCCCTCATTTGACAGAGCATGGCCCACACCTTCCTTACTTCTAATAGAGGATTCAGAAACAAAATAAGAAGTGCTAGGACATGGGTTTACCTGTGGCCTTACCTTTGTAGCCAACGAACTGGTTACCTTGGTTGGCTTCTTGCTTGGGACTTCCTTGTGCATGTCTGTTCCATTATGTGGATTCCCACTAGAGCTCGCACAAATCTGTTGTGTGTGTATTCTAGCACCATTTGGAATGGTAGAGCACGTACCCTCACTTGAAATGGATAGCTCTTTGACCAAAGATTGGGACACTGCAGGTGAGCAAGCTTGAGTGGTTTGTGGGTTGACCTCTGGAGAGATGGTAGCAGGGTTACTTGGGACAAATGCGTTTAGGGATTGTGGGTTGACATCTTGGTCCTTTGGTGAACAGGAATTTGATAGATCTCCCACATTTGAGAATGTTGGGTTTTCTAAAATACTGGACATATTAATGGTTAGAGCATGTGGTGGTAGAGAGAAAAGAGTCATTAATGGTGATAGGTGGAGTGGATTGATGGTGAGGAATCTATATACGCAGTGTAGTGAATGAAAAAGAGAAGAAACAGGGGTAGTGGGTAGAACAAGGGGCGGTGAACCAAGGGCAATAAAAATGGGGATCTGAAAGACAATCTGGTTAGAGGAGAGAAGATGTGGGTGAAAGAAGGAATGGAAGATATATTGGTAGGAATGATGTAGGGTTCAAGGACGTTGGGGGAGGACAATCGCCATGGAATCGCTCCTTTGTTCACTCACTCTGTTCTTCTTGTTTTTAATTTTTGAGGGAAAGCTGTAGATGAATTTCATAGGTTTTACTTATGGGAAGTTACGTATTACTTATTATGTTATTGTGGTATTTGGTATTGTGTATTGTGGTTAATTTTGTAATTTTTGTTAGTTGTGTTTGTTGTTGATTGAAAAATAGTTGATATGTATTAGTTGTGCGTTTGATTTTTTATTGAAAACTAATTGACATATATTATTGGTGTTTCTTATTATTTGAAAATAGGTGACAAATTTTGCGACTATTTGAGGTATTGTCGCAAAATATACTTATTCACCATGTTTTGGTTGGGTCACCAATACATTTTTATTTTGATTAATACAATTGCAAATACACATTAAAAAAATATTTTTTGTGATGATTTAAATTATGGTTGCGAAATACACTTATTTGCGATGTTTTGGCATCGTCAATACCTCTATATTTTGGTTAATGCATTATTTTGGTATGAACTCCATTTCTTTACATAAGGTAGTTATTCTTTTACATAGATATGGTAGTTATTTAATCATCTATGGCTCACTTGCCTACATGTAGAATTATTATTGGACGATGATAACATGTAACAGTAATGATGTGGTATCATCATTATATTGATTGTTTTCCCCAACTACCCAAACGAGTCTTTTGGAGAACTTAGAGAGAGAGCTTTTTCTATCTATATTTTTTAAATGCAATTGGATGCCCATTCTTTGTAAGAATATGTTTTGTGTCTAGGTCATAGATTATTTGCACTCCTAGGGCTATACAACCATTTAGATAACTTAAAATCTCTCAAATGTTATCCAACAACCCATACGACACCCATGAGTCATGAAATGGATCCTAACCTGATAGGGTCGGGCTGGTCATAGATCACTACCTCCTAGGACCCCCTAGATAAATTTGTAAGATCACTTACGAAAGATTTTAGCATCTTATTTTAACTTTGTTTTTTTAAATTATAATGTAGAAAGCATAAATTACCACTATAAGAGTTAACACTCAAATAAAAATATTTCCACACTTCCATTGCTTGATATGAGTACACTGTATATAAGATTACAATAGAGAGGTGATTGGTCTTATACTTATCACAATGAGTCTTATCATTATCATAATGAATACAATTGAATTTGAAAATTAAAAGTTCAATCCTTATCTTTAACACGCCCCCGCAAGTGTAGCCTCCCATTAAGGAGGATAAGCTTGTCACGAAGAAGATGAAACTGAGGAGTTGACAACGGTTTGGTGAAGATGTTTGCAATTTGATCTTTGGTTTAGAGGTAACGAATTTCACGGGTTTGCTTGGCTACTTTGTCACAGACAAAGTGAAAACCTATTTCAACATGCTTTATTTGATTATGAAAGATCAAATTTGTAGTGAGCTTTGTAGCACCCACATTATCACTCCAGAGTATGGGACAATTAGTTGTGTGAATATGGAGCTCCTATAATAAGGATTGAATTCAAGTGATCTTTGCAGTAGCATCGGCAAAGGCACGATATTCAGATTATATGCTTGAAAGGGCAACTAATTTTTCTTTGTGAGATGCCCAAGAGATAAGATTTGGTCCAAAAAGGATGGCATAACCTCCAATGTACTTTTGGTCATCCAAACAACCGGCCCAATCTGCGTCAAAGTATGCAGAGAGGATGAAATTTGTGGAGCGCCAAATGGGAAGACAAATATCAATAGTGTCCTTGAGATATCATAGAATTCTTTTTACGGCGGTCCAATGGATATCGGTGGAGTGTTGCATAAATTGATAGACTTTGTTGACCGAAAAGGACAGATCGGGTCGGGTTATGGTTACATATTGCAAAGCACTGACAACACTTATATAAAATTGAGCATCATGAAATGGATCACCTTCATTACACCGAATCTTGACAGTTGGGGCAAAGGGGTTTGAGAGTAGTTCATCAGCATCCATATGACATTTCTTAAGGAGTTTGACAATATATTAGCGTTGGGACAACAATAATCCATGAGGGGTATGGACAACTTTGATACCCAAGAAGAAGTTGAGGGTACCCAAATCTTTAGTGGTAAATTCCATGCCACGCTAAGAGATACGATCATGAATGGATGGTGGGGAGCTGCCTGTGATGATAAAGTCGTCAACATAAACAAGAATATATGTAACGGACGTGGGTGTGTGGCGAATGAACAAAAAGGTGTCCGTTTGAGAGGCAGTGAAAGCTTGAGAGAGTAAAATGAACTTAAATGTTCAAATCAATCTCGAGAAGCTTGTTTAAGCCCATAAAGAGACTTCCAAAGTCGACAAACATAATGCGGATGATTGGAGTTGAAAAAACCCAGTGGTTTCATCATGTAAACGTCCTCACTTCTAGTACCATGGAGGAAGGAATTATTTATATCGAGTTGCCGAATAGGCCAATGTTGAAAAATGGCCAGTTATAAAACAGTCTGGATAGTGACTAGTTTCACTGTCGAGCTAAATGTTTCAGTATAATCAACACCCTCTAGTTGATTAAATCTTTTGGCGACAAGATGAGATCTGTAGCATTCAATGGTTCCATTAGCTTGCTTTTTGATGCGAAAAATCCACTTGCAACCAACTAGATTTTGATTGATTTTAGGTGGCTCAAGCGTCCATGTGCCATTCTTGAGTAAGGCATGAATCTCATCAGCCATAGCAGCACGCCAGTGGTGGAATTTAGAGGCTATAGTGGCTGATGTTGGGACAAGGTCGGTGGTTGGGTGGGCAAGGTATCATTGAGGTAGCGGATATTTAGTGTGAGAATTTAGAACTTTCGGGCAACGGGTACTGTCTTGAGTCCGAGTGATCATTGGATGGGTGCTAGTTGGGTTGGCTATGTGATTATGAGTATTAGGAGGATTGGAGAGGTAAGATGGTGAAGGTTTTGGCAAAGAGGTGGAGTTGGGTAAGGTGCCATCTGTAGAGGTAGGTAAAGAGTCGACACACTCAACTATGGAAGAAGAGGGGGTCGTGCCGATCGTGGGCAGTGATGGTGTTTCTAAGAGTCCAGTAGAAGCGAGAGTATATGGATGGATAGAATACTATTGTGATGGTGGAGACATAGTTGGGTTGGCAGGAGGGGAAAGCACTGTATGAGTAAGAGGGGAGTTGAACAAAGGTATAGTGGGTAAGCTTGGTACATGTGGGCTAGATGAGGTAGAAGAAGGAGATGCACCCACAAAAGGAAACACTATTTCGTTAAAAACACATCGTGAGAGATGTAAAGGAGATTAGTTTTCGGATTCAAACACCAATAGCCACGATGGAAAGGCCTGTAGTAGAGAAAAACACATGGCATAGATCTGTAGTCCAACTTGTGACGCCAATACGGCCGAAGACAAGGATAATAGAGGCAATCAGATACTTTTAAAACTTCATAATCCGACAATTTGTGAAAGAACTTCTCCCATGGTGAAATATTGGCAATGACCTTAGATGGAAGTCGGTTAATGAGATACACTGCGGTTTAAAAGCAAAGTCCCAAAAATGTTGCGACGCAATGGAATGTGCCAATAAAGCCAATCCCATTTCAACAATGTGACGAAGTGTCCTTTCGGCAGCTTTGTTCTGTTGATGGGTATAAGGACAAGAAAGGCGATGACCAATACTGCTTGAGGTAGGATAACGATTGATGTGGCGGTACTCACAACCCCAATTGCGATGCAAATATTTGATCCGTGATTGAAGTAAATTTTCAGCCAAAGACTTGAATTTAATGAAACACATTAATGTATCACTTTTATTTGCAATGGAGAAAAGCCAAGTGAATTTGCTAAAGGCATCAACAAAAATTACGTAAAATTTGTTGCCACTAAACGAAATCAGTGGTGCTGGTCCTCAAACGTTAGAGCACACAATCTCTAGTTGTGTAGAAATTGGGGTGGAAATGGAGGGAATAGGTAGAGTGTGACTCTTTGCTCGCTGACATGCATCACAAATATGGCTGGAATTAATGTGCCGAAACGGAGTGCCAAGCTGTTTGAGGACATTGAGAACAACTTGAAAGGTAGGGTGATCAAGATGTTTATACCCATGGGTCTACAACATTATGAAGAAATGCAATTTTATTGGAATCTTGAGTCAAATGAAGCTTGTAAAGGGCATTATTGATCAGTATGCGTCGAACAACTCTCCTCGTGCGGATGTCCTTGCACAAAAATAAAAAGGTTAGAATTCGAAGGCACAATTATTATCATTGGAAAATTTATTCACAAAAAGTAGAATTTGATGCACTAGTGACACATGAAGGATATCATTGAGTGTAGGAGTAGTAGATGGAGTACCAATGGTGTAAAACCCCGTGTGATGAATTCTTAAACCTGTCTCGTTACCTATCTTAACGGTGTCGGAGCCATGGTAGTCGGAAACGAAATTGAGATTAGCGAAGCCCGAAGTGATGTGATAAGTAGCACGCGAGTGGGGATACCAATTAGCAGTCGTAGGTGCAGCAGCGGTAACATTGTAAGCATAGGCTAAAGAGGGGGGTGGCACATATTGGAAGACCTCATTGAAATGGTTATGGCATTGGAGAGCAATATGGCCCATGCGGTTGCAAACTTGACACACGAGTTGAGAACCCAACATAGAGGACAAAGAGTTGTGGGTGCATAATTGGTCAGAAAATGGATGGTGCCCACGATTGTGACCACGTCCTCGCGAGCCTTGAAAGCCATGGTCGTGAGGCCACTGCAAGTTAATGGGCGAGAGTTTTTGCTCGATGGAAGTATTTGGTAATCGAGTCAGGAAGTTTTTTAAGGCATTGTAACTCCATTCAGAGTTGTAAAATGCGTGCCTTCGAATGAGAGGCGAAGGAGGTCTCAAAAGCAGTCCATACAACTCGAGAGGTTGGGAGACCAAGTACTTGAGCACGCACGTCTTCGGATAGAGAAGATAGTAACCAGCCAAGGATCATATTCGAGGTTGACATTAGGCATGACATCGGAGCCGGAGGAGAGGTATTGAGAGGACAACGAATAGTCCCATCAATAAAGTCAAGGACGGAGTTTCCGCGAAGCTGTGGTCTGTGGAATCTCTTAATTCTGCCAAATGGGATAATTGTCTGCGTGAAGCTTGACAGTAAGCACATGAGATGATGAAGATGGAAAAACTGGAGTTAAGGAGGAACAACTAGAGTCGATGGTAAAGGAAGAAATGCTCATGTTGGAGGGGAAAAAAATAGGCACGTTGTATAGCTATAAATCTACAGGATGTTTATTAGCTCTAACACCATACAAGAATTAACACTCGGATTAAAAATACTTTCACATTTTCATTGTTTGATATGTCTAAACTATACATAAGATTACTGCAGGTGATTGGTTTTATACTTATCACAATAAGTCTTATCCTTATCACAACAAATACAATTGAATTTGAAATTTAAGAATTCAATCCTTATCTCTAACAATCTCTCACAATAATTTTGATGTCATGCAATCAAAATCTAATGGAGAATTAATGATTATATTTTTAGGTTGAATTTGAGATCCTTTTTACATTTGAATTTTTATTTATTATTTTTTACGGCACAAAATGACGCAAAAAATAATAATGATTAGGTGCATCTACTTATCAAAAAACTAAATATAACTTGATTGCCTTGTTAAATGTTTTTCATTTAGACTTTGACTCTATTTCTCGGCGATCATCAACAATGTCTCGTCTATTTTAAGAAATTCATCATACTTAAATTAAATTTATTTCGATGTCACAATAGTGTTTTGATTCTTTTTTTTTTCTATGTATTTTTAATAGATACCAGACTTAATTACATTTGGCAGTCGAATTCAACTTCAATTAAAAAAAATTCATGCACAACAACTTGATTACAAAAACTTAATTAGTATTTTTCCATCTCAAAAAAATTAAATTTCAAACTAATATTTTATATTATGAAAGTGATTTAATACTATCAATATTTACAATAGTAAAATGATATAAACATGTAAATTACGGAATAGTTCCTAGTCCTGGATTCTTAGAGTAGGCTTAGCCGTATAGGTTAGAGGAGAGGACCTTCACTCTTATGCAAACTTTTACCCACCCTCACTCCTCTGGGGCCCCGCATCACCAAACATTGACCCATCCATGAAAGATAGTTTTGTATCTGTCAAGAAATTTTTCAATTTAGACTACATTGTGTGAAAGGAACTGAAAATTTATATATGAGAAAACTTATATATAGAAGACAGTTTTCAGAGACGCCATAGCGAATAGTAATTTAAACCCTAGCTTCTGAGTGCAGAGCCGTCTAAGTAGCAGAGCCACCGGAAGCTATCATCCAAGATGACTTTCAAGCGAAGGAATGGAGGCCGAAACAAGCACGGTCGTGGCCATGTAAAGCCTATCCGATGCTCCAACTGCGGAAAATGCTGCCCCAAGGACAAAGCTATCAAGAGGTTTCTTGTGAGGAACATAGTTGAGCAAGCTGCTGTTCGAGATGTCCAGGATGCTTGTGCCTTTGAGACGTACACTCTTCCCAAGTTGTATGTGAAGATGCAATATTGTGTTTCATGTGCAATTCACTCCAAAGTTGTTAGGGTGCGCTCAAGTACTGATAGAAGGAACCGTGAACCCCCTCAGCGCTTCAGGCGTCCAAGGGAGGATCAGCCCAGGCCCGGACAAGCACCACGTCCTGCTGCAACCCGGACTTGAAAAACCACTTATTATTTCCTCTACTAAGCTTTTAAATTTGGTGTTGGTGGAGTTTCATTATGCTTTATTATAAGAAGGATTTGACATTAATTGCTATTTTGTTTTGCTTTAATGTGGACTAATATTGTAATTTTTTGCTCCCCGTAGATGTGTTATGGCAAAAGTTCAATTCATAATAAAGGGTCAAGTCTAATACCTCATGACAGAATAATTATAGAATAGACAAGTGCACACAAATGGAATTCAAATGCAAACCAAAATTGATATGAAAATTGCAATCCGAATGCAATGTTGTGTACTACCCGAGAGAGAGAGGGAGAGAGAGAGAACTATTGTCCTTTGCATGTGGCGCTTAATTTCCACTTTAGAGGTGACAGCAGAGGCAACTGGAAATGGAGGTTGTACGCCGATGTGTGCGTTGTGGCCGTGATGAGGTGCAGTGGTGGTGCAAGTCAGTGTGTATCCATGTGCATGCACCGGGCACATGCGGGATTTTGTTTTAGAGGGTGCAAAATATGACAAAATACATTCACTTGCTAACGCTAGAATCACTACACAAGTCTTCAAAAAATTAGGGGAGCGAATGCAATATAATGCTACCTCACCAACTGTTTCTTTCTTTTTCAGTTTTTTTTTTGTTTTAAAACTTTTGGAAAGCAAAATGGCAAAAGAAAATTCATGTAACTGTCCCAAAAAATATTGAGACAAAACTTTGTTAAGTTGAGAATAATTAGTTGTTGAAATGTATCTGATTTGTCTATATATCATTTGATATATACATATATTATGTATATATTAATTTCATATAAAAATACAATGTTAAAATATTTATATATATATTTTTAAAAAAAATTAAAATTAACTTTTTGAAATTAAAAATTTTAAAATATATTTTTTCTATCTTACCAAGCGCCCAATAAGAAAATTAATCACTTTTATTTTTTATTCATCCTACAAAACACAAAAGAAAGAAAGTGTATTATTCCTACTTTTTATCTCTTCTACTTTTCATCAATTCTACCAAACGGAACATTAGAGAGAAAACATGATGAGAAGATGAAAATTTAAAAAAGAGTGGCAAGTAATTGAAAAGGGCAGGGGAACTTGTTCAACCTCAAAGAATCTGAATGGATGAAACTTTAATTTTAATTTTATAAATCAATGTGTGAGTGATAAATAATAGGTGAAGGCACCCCAAAAAATACCTCCCAACAATTCAATTATTTTATCTAGTTGTATGAATAACTAAGGACAAAATTCAAGAATTCAATTATGGTTTGTTCGGCACGATGGAAGAACGAAAGATTAGAAAGTTTGAATGATTTAAAGTTAGAGGGATAGATAAAATATCATGTTTTATAAGGAATGAAAGTAGAAACGATGAAAAAAGTGAATGAATGAACTTTCCTTTCAACTTACCAAAATTAATCCCTCAAAAATTAGGAGAAAAAGTGGAGGAAAAGTTAATTGTGTGTGTTGAAATATATATATATATATATATATATATTTATTTATTTATTTATTTATTTATTTATAATGCTAAAATATGACTTATAGTTTTTCTCAAAAAAAAAAATTTATTTCCAATAAAAAAAATACATTTCCATTTTCTCAAACAAAAAAAATTATTCATTTCTACTTTCCATTCATTTTATCAAATACAAAAGAGGAAAGAAAAGATTCCTTTCGTGAAGTATAAAAAGTTGTATCAATCCCATTTTCTAGTAGTATTATAAGAATATGGAAGAGTTTAAGAGTACTGATCATTGCTAGTAGTGTTATAAGAATATGGTTCATCACCTATATTTATTATTGTGTATAGCGATATAAATGGAGGAGTTTTACTAGAAAAGTTATGGGATTCTTGGGAGTAGGTTTGGGTTAGAGAAGAGGACTTTACATTTTTTCTAAACTATGCAACTTTTTACCCACTCTCAACTCCTCCGGGGCCCAACGCCACCAAACAATGTCCCATACATGAAAGGAAATTTCGTATCTCTAAAGAGTTTACAAATTCAGTTATTTAACTAAAGACAATATCAAAGTAACGAAAAAATCTTATTTTAAAAAAAACTCTATTATAGAACACCATTTATCGTATGTGGACTGCCCAACCAAGTTATAGGGAAAGAGTACCACAATGGAGACCTTAAAAACTTGTAATGATGTGGTATAATAGTGTTGTTATGATTGAAACTCTTCAACTTTTTTATTAGAACTCTATTAGGTGACATATCATTACGTCAGTAAATTAGTTCAATTTTTTTAGGTCTTTATTGCACTACTAATGATATTGGAATCCAATCAATTGACCTAATAATATTGAGTAATGTTATTCAATACTGTTGTTATGACTGTATATAAACATCAGTTATTAACTTCTATATGGAAAATTTTGTTTCTATACAATAGCCCAATATTTTTTGGCCAATGCGTCGGGAACTTCAAGCCAACCTTGAAGCCCTTAGACAGAGATGTGCATGAAATAAGAATATGCATAAATAAAGTTCACAATCAAGTCTAGTTCTCTTCAACGAGAGTATTGAAGAGGACCTCGCTTTCTCTCCTCAAAAAAAAAAAAAAAAAAAACCTGGCCTTATCTCCTTATAAATAAGTCATCCATTCTTCGTTCTTCATTGCCAAAACCCACTTTTTCTCTCTTCGTATCTGTCTCTGTTTCTTTCTCCAGCTTCCATTATTTCCAATCATGGCAGGAGCTGGTAAACTGACTGTTGTGATGTTTATGATCATTGCTTCCATTTGCTTCTACAAAGTTTCCGCAGATCCTGACATGCTTCAAGATGTTTGTGTTGCTGATCTCGCTTCTGGTATTGATTACCCAAAACTTGTTCTTTTATTATTTTTTTCCCGTCTTGTTGAAAGTTAAATCTCCTATGCAAATTGATACCCATTTACTTTCTGATCATTTGTTAATTTTAACTTAGCTTTTATGTCTGAAACAGGTATAAAAATAAATGGGTTCGTCTGCAAAAATAATGCCAGCGCGGCAGATTTCTTCTTTGCGGGCCTAGCCAAACCAGGAGTCATCAACAATGCCGTTGGCTCTATAGTGACTCCAGCCAATGTTATGCAAATCCCAGGTCTTAACACTCTTGGAGTGTCGATGGCACGCATTGACTATGCCCCAGGAGGCCTAAATCCACCACACACTCACCCACGTGCTACTGAGATGATTTTCGTGCTTGAAGGTGAATTGGATGTTGGATTCATAACCACTGCCGATGTCCTCATATCCGAGCACATCATGAAGGGTGAGAACTTTGTGTTCCCAAGAGGTCTTGTTCATTTCCAAAAGAACAATGGCAAGGTTCCTGCTGCTGTCATTTCCGGGTTCAACAGTCAGCTGCCGGGTACTCAAGTTATTGCTGCCACACTATTCGGAGCTACACCACCAGTTCCGGATAATGTCTTGACAATTGCATTCCAAATTGATGCACAGGAAGTAGAGAAGATCAAGTCAAAGTTTGCACCCAATAAGTAGATACAAACTTGTACCAGTTTGTTTTTACCAGACAAAACTTGTACCAAAGTGTGGTTTTGTGGGTTCAGAGGGTCAAGTGGGTTGACATTTGTACTTGTTTGGTTTGAATATGAGTGAGATTTTTGGTTTTCAAATAATCAACAATAAACAGTGAAGTTTTGAAAAGGCTTGTCTTTGTATTGAATCACTGCTATCATATGGTAAATGGAAACTAAACTTATTGCTTGATTTTCCACAATGTAAAAGACAACTTATTAAAAATAATTTGGAATAAGCTAATTAAGTATTAACCTTTATTTTTTTTTCTTTTTTCTTCACAATGATCAGAACGTATCACAATCCCCCAACATTTGGACTCCTGGCCATTTACAAAAACTTGAACACATGCACTAGCCCATAAAATATGTGTACGAGTCAACTAAGTCATCCTTCACCAAGTTCGTGTAAGATTAACTTCATTATGTGAAAAATCATCACACAAACAGGAACATACATATTGAATCATCAAGAATTAAAATATTGGATTTGCAGAAGAGTATCTAAATTCATAACAAAATATTGCAATATTCAAGTCTGAGAATTTATGATCTTCTAGATCTACATTTATTTTCTGTCTAAATTTCTCTCTGACAATGGGAATCAGAAGGATAGAAAAATTATGTGTGATCTAGGGACCATGACCCCTATTTATAAACAATCGTGTCTGTTTATAAGCAGTTACGCCTGTTCGTAATTTATATTTTAACCCATCATAAAAATAGAAATTACGCTTGTCTCTACACATTAATGCCCACACTTTATAATATATTAACTAAGGCCCCAAAACTTAAATTAATCACTTTAATTAACCTAACTTTTTTTGATAGCCTATAATTCACATTTATTTAATATATAAGCCCATATATTTAATTTTACTCAAACAATCTCCCACTTGGGCTATATATGTAACTTTATAAACATGAATTATACTTTTATGAGCTCATGAGTTTTGGTATCATAATTTTATATATTTTAACAATCTTGTCCATTAACCACACCAATACAGAACCAAAACGATCGTCGTTACATATTTCGTAACTAGACCCATCAATGATCACATATATCAATGCAACTAATGACAAAGATCAAGTGTGGATGTGTAACATGGAAATTTCATGCAATGTGATCTTAACATGCCTATTTTCAACTGGTCCTTCTTAAACCTTAGTGAGATCAAACCATACAAAATCAGAGTGAATGAAAACTAAATACTTTACTGCAGTAAATAACCATAATATCCATAACAAATCTATCTATAAATAAAAGCATCTAAAATACAAACTCCCACTAAAACGATATATCCTAATGAAAAACCACACCCATATGAGCTATGTGCTCATGAAAAACCTTGGGTGGTAATCCTTTAGTTAGTGGATCTGCAATCATGGAGTTTGTCCCAATGTGCTCTATAAATATAAGTCCACTCTGAACTCTTTCTTTGACAACTAGGAATTTGATGTCTATAAATTTTGACTTCGTCGAACTCCTGTTATTGTTGGAATACAATACTGCTGATTTATTGTCACAAAATAACTTAAGTGGTCTTTAAATGCCATCTAGAATACGCAGCCCCGTGACAAAATTTCGCAACCATATTCCATGATTGGACGCCTCATAACAAGCTACAAACTCAGCTGCCATGGTGGAAGAAGCTACAATAGACTGTTTAACACTCTTCCAAGATATAGCACCACCAGCAAGTAAGTAGATATAGCCTAAAGTAGATTTCATGCTATCTCGACATCTAGCAAAATCGGAGTCAGAATATCCAATGACCTCTAACTGATCTGACTTTCGATAAGTGAGCATGTAGTCTTTTGTTCTCTGTAAGTACCTCATGACTCGCTTGGTTGCTACCCAATGATCCTTTCCAGGATTGCTTAAGTATCTGCCCAACACGCCAACAATATACGCAATATCCAGACGCGTACATACTTAAGCATACATTAGACTTCCTATTGCTGATGCATAAGGAATCTTTTGCATCTCCTGAATCTCTAAATTATTTTTAGGGCATTGACTAAGACTAAATTTGTCTCCCTTAGCCACAGGGGTGTCACCTGGTTTGCAATCATGCATGCCAAACATTTTAATAATTTTCTCGATATAGCTCTTTTGTGATAAACCAAGTGTACCCCGAGAGCGATCCCGATGTATCTGTATACCCAACACAAAAGAAGCATCACCAAGATCTTTCATCTCAAATTTCTTTGATAGAAATTTCTTGGTTTCATGCAACATGCCTATATTGTTGGTGGCAAGCAATATGTCATCAACATATAAAACCAAGTAAGTATGCTTACTCCCATTGAACTTATGGTGTATACAATCATCAACCATATTCATTTCAAAACCAAACGAAATGATAACTTGTAATACCATTGACGAGAAGCTTGCTTAAGCCCATAGATGAATTTCTTTAACTTGCAAACCATCTTCGTTGCATCTCCCGACACAAAATTTTCTGGTTGCACCATATGGATTGTTTCATCAATGTCACCATTGAGAAATGCAGTCTTAACATCCATTTGATGAAGCTCAAGGTCAAAGTGCACCACAAGTGCCATTATTGTCCTAAAAGAGTCTTTCGATGAAACCGGAGAGAAAGTCTCTTTATAATCGATGCCTTCTTTTTGTGTAAATCCTTTAGCAACAAGACGAGCTTTGTATCTCTCCATATCACCTTTCGAATCCCTCTTGGTTTTAAATATCCATTTGTAACCAATGGGTTTCACACCTTCAAGCAATGAGACAAGATCCCAAACGACATTGTCCTTCATGGACTTTATCTCCTCATTCATGGCATCAATCCACTCTTGAGATTTAGAACTTTTCAGGGCTTGACAGAAGTTGATTGGATCATCTTCAACCGTACCAATGTCAAACTCATGTTCTTGGATAAATACAATGTAATCATCTGGCACTACACTTCTCCTTTCTCTAGTGAATCTCCTTAATGGCGTAGGTTCTGGAGGAGGTAGAGTTTGTTCTTCTGGAACAGGAGGTTCTTGGATATTGTTTTGATGTGGAGCTGCTTCTTGAACAATGTCAGGTATAGGAGCCTGATCAATGTCAATAACAGTTGTGGGAATATCAACATATTCCTCTTCAAAGACAAAATTCCTATCCTTAAAGAACCGGGCATTTCCCGTCTCAAAAATTGATCTAGTAGCAAGATCATAGAATTTGTAACCCCTGGATCTTTCGGAGTATCCAATAAAATAACAACTAACCGTTCTTGAATCCACTTTCTTTTCATGTGGCCTGTAAGGCCTTGTTTCAGCTGGACATCCTCAAATGTGTAAGTGCTTCAGACTAGGCTTCTTGCCTGTCCAAAGTTCATAAGGGGTTTTAGTAGTTGTTTTAGTTGGTACTCTGTTAAGGATATACACTACAGTCTTTAATGTTTCACCCCAGAGTGATTCTGGCAAGTTAGAATGACTAATCATACTCATTACCATGTCTTTGAGCGTTCTGTTTCGCCTTTCAGCAACACCATTTATGCTTGGAGAATCTGGCATGGTGTACTGTGGGACGATACCGCACTCCTCTAGGAATTTAGCAAATGGTCCCGGACGTTGTTCACCTGAACCGTCATACTTACCATAGTATTCACCACCACGGTCAGATCTGACGTTTTTAATCCTTCTGTTGAGTTGATTTTCAACTTCAACTTTTAACGATTTGAACACTTCTAGTGATTGGGACTTTTCATGAATGAAATAAAGATAGATACAACGTGAAAAATCATCTATGAACGTGATAAAATATTGTTGGCCATTCCATGAATTCAGAGGAAATGGCCCACAAATATCTGTATGTATTAGTTCTAAGACATCTGTAACCTTGTTGGCACCAAATCTCCTTGTGTTTGTTTGTTTTCCCTTTATGCATTTTGTGCAAATTTCAAAATCTACAAAATCAAGGGAATCTAGAATCCCATCTGACACAAGTCTTTCAATTCTCCTTTTGGAAATGTGACCTAATCTCTTATGCCATAATGATGAGGAATTCTCATTGGTTAATTTTCTTTTAACACCTCGAGTACTTACTTGCAAGGTTTCATGATATGAAGCAACTGTATCAAGCAAATACAGGTTATCTTCATAAGATAAAGAACCAGTACCAACCAAATTTGAATTCTGAAAAAGACTAAATTTATTATTTCCAAAAGAACAAGAATAACCAAATTTGTCCAATACAGAAATAGAAACCAAATTTTGTCTAAAGGACGGTACAATAAATGTCTCATTCAAATCCAAATAAGTACCAAACTTTAATAATAACCTAAATATCCCAATTGCCTCAACTTCAACTTTCTTGTCATCGCCTATAAAGATGTATCTTTCACCATCATTTGGCTTTCGGCAGCTCAGGCAGCCCTGCACGGAGACACTGATGTGAGTGGTAGCACCAGAATCTATCCACCAAGTGTGTTTAGATACCGAAGTCAAATTAACCTCAGAACAAACTAGATTAAGAAGTGTACCTTTCTTTGCACGCCAAGTATGATAGTTGGTACACTGCTTCTTCTTATGTCCAGCAACTCCACAGAAGAAACAACCATCAACATTTTTTTCTTTATATTGTTTCTTTGGATATGGAACCTCTGCAGCTTCTTTATCCTTCTTTTTTTTCTTCCTTTTATCCTTGGAAGTACTAGCCAAATGAGCACTTTCTATCTTTTCTTGCTTCAACCTCTCCTCTTCTTGCACACAATGTGAGATGAGCTCATTAAGAGACCAAGTCTCTTTTTGGCAGTTGTAGCTCACCTTAAATCGACTGAATTGTGTGGGAAGAGATATCAGAACCAAATGCACAAGCAAATCCTCAAAGAGATCAAGTTTATGTGCTCTTAACTTTGAAGCGAGATGGGATATTTCCATAATGTACTCCCTAATATTCCCATTACCTTTATATTTCATTGTGATGAGATTTGCCAAAAGGGTACTTGTTTCAGACTTTTCATTCTTAGCAAATTTATTCTTAATTTCTTCTAGGAACTCTTTGACTGTCTTTATCGTTTCGAATATTGTGCCCCTGAATGCTTCTGGATTGACCTTTTTAATGATCATTA